GTTATTGTTGTGGCAACACATGTACAGGCCACCGTGCAAAAGATGTTCAATGCCCTGCAAATGGTAAAGCATGTAGAAGTTGTAACAAAGTTGGTCATTTTGCCTCGGTATGTCGGAGTCAGCCAAAGCCAGCTAACTATACATCACTTCCTATTCAGATGATGATGAATGCATTTTTCGAAATTTCCAATTCCAAATTTACCTACTACTAACATTAATGTTGACGGGTTGTCAGTGCCTGTCGTTATTGATTCTGGTGCAACCGTAAACATTGCGGATATTGACACATATTATAAGTTACGTACACTTAGAAAAGTTGAAATTATGCCCTCTAACATTCGGTTGTTTACATATGGTTCAACAATTCCATTGAACATCTTGGGGACAATAACTGTCAAAGTTGAACGCAATGGAAAGCAAATTCTTGCCCAATTTGTAGTAGTCAACAACCGAGGAACGGGGTGCCTTTTGGATCAAATCACCATCCATGTTGATCCTAAAATTCATCCTGTTGCCCAAGAACCCCGCCGTGTCCCATTTCATGTTCACCGCAAAGTAGAAGCCAAACTAGACGAGCTACAGCGCTTAGACATCATTGAGCCAGTCACTGAGCCAACACCATGGGTGTCCCCCTTGGTTGTAGTGCCCAAGCCAAATGGTGAGGTTCGTATCTGTGTAGATATGCGTCGAGTCAACACAGCAGTGATTAGAGAAAGGTACCCAATTCCCACCGCAGAGGAGATTTTACAGGATTTAACGGGTGCATGTGTCTTCTCAAAGCTCGACTTAAGATAGGGGTACCATGAGATTGAACTTGACGAACAATCAAGGCATTATACAACATTTGCTACACACACCGGTCTCTATCGCTACAAGCGCCTTATGTTTGGTGTTTTTGCGACACCAGAAATATACCAACATGTGATTCAACCATCTCTCCAAGGGTGCCCTGGGATGCGAAACATCTCAGATGACATAATTGTTTTTGGGAATACCTAACAGGAACATGATCATAACCTTAACACTGTCTTAGCAACACTCCAAGAGTGTGGTCTGACTCGCAATAGCGACAAATGCAAATTTAGTGTTTCTGAGGTCACATTTTTTGGGTATACCATTTCGGCAAATGGTACACGACCCACCGATGAGACTGTAACTGCCATTCGAAATGCCCCAAAGCCATCCATGCCTCAGAGGTCAGAAGTTTCTTGGGTTTTGTGAACTACTGCAGCCGGTTCATCCCAAATTTCTCCACCGTAGCAGCCCCACTTCGACAGCTCACACACAAAGGTGCACCATTTACATGGACCAAACTCCACCAAAATGCATTCGAATCTTTGCAGAAAACTCTTATACTAGCAATTCCGTCATGGCACATTTTGATCCCAGTGCCTCCACTCAGCTTCGTGTTGACGCCAGTCCATTTGGCCTGGGGGCCATATTAACCCAAACTCATGGTGATGAAACCCGACCAGTAGCCTATGCAAGTCGCACTCTTACAACTGTTGAAAGGCGTTATTCTCAGACTGAGCGTGAGGCCATAGCGGTTGTCTGGGGATGTGAACGGTTCCATCTATATGGGACAAGCCTCTCGAAATAATCTACAGTCCGACGTCAAAACCCCCTGCGCGTATTGAGCGGTGGGGCCTTCGCCTGCAACCGTATAAATTTTGCGTTAAGTACACTCTAAAAACACTCTGGTTAAATTTGGGTTAATTCAACCAGTACGGGGTTAAAAATCCACCTACACAAGTCTGGTTAAAAAAAATTAACCATTTTCCTGGTTAAAAGTCCAAAAAAGTGTACCAAATTTTTGTTGAATTGATAATTTTTAACCAGGAAATGGGTTAAATTTCACCAGAATGTGTTGGGTGGATTATTAACCCAATTCCTGGTTGAATTTAACCAGAGTGTTTTTAGAGTGTATTATTCCCCTGGAATTGGTAATCCTGCGGATGTACTTTCTCGTTTGCCACTTCCCAATACAACAACCAATACTCGCAACACGGCTGAAGAATATGTCCAGTTTGTCGCTCAGAATGCAGCTCCTAAGGCCCTGTCTCTTAGTACAATAAAAGAAGCCACCAACCAAGATCCAGCTCTTCAATTTCTTCGCGAGTGTATCATGAAGAACAATTGGCCCAAGGTTAATATGACACGTCCATATCATGGTATCAGACACGAACTGACTGTTATTGATGACATTATCCTTCGTGGGTCCCGTATCTTGATGCCAACGTCTCTCCGAGAACGAACTTTGAAAATAGTCCACGAAGGGCATCAGGGCATCGTGAAGACAAAACGACTGCTAAGAGAAAAAGTCTGGTGGCCTGGCATTGACCAAGCTATAGAACAGCTAATTCGTACGTGCGTTGCATGCCAAGCCCAAGGTCCAGTATCCACACCACCGCCCCTTCACATGACGACTATGCTAAGTCAGCCATGGCAAACTCTACATGCCGATCTGTGTGGACCGTTTCCCAGTGGAGAAAGTCTTCTTGTGGTAGATACCTGCTCCCGTTGGCCAGAAGTACGTGTTATGAAGAGTACTACGTCCACAGCTATCATAAAATGCATGAAGACCACATTTGCAACCCATGGAATCCCACACGAAATTGTGACTGACAATGGACCACAATTCACCTCCGCTGAGTTTAGTACATACCTTTCCAATTGTGGTATTGTACACCGTAAAGTCGCACCCTATTGGCCCCAGGTAAACTCCGAAGTAGAACGTTTTAACCGAACTGTAGAAAAAGCAATACGTGCAGCGAACGTCAAAGGGAAAAACTGGAAAGAAGAACTTGATGTTTTCCTACTGAATTATCGTTCAACTCCCCACTGTACCGTTAGAAATAAAATACCCGTGCCACCAACATCGACACCAGCTGATGACATACCAGTAACAGTTCGTCAACATGATCGCGAAAGAAAAGAGAAAATAAAGTCTTACACTGATGACCACAACCGAGCTTCATTGTCCGACGTGAAAAAGGGAGATACGGTGCTACTACGTGAACCTCGGCAAACACAATTGTCGACGACCTATGATCCGAAGCCGTACATTGTCGAAGAAAAGAAACGGCCCAGTGTGCTACTGAAACGACCCTTTGAACGACAGATTATGAGAAATGAAAGTATGATACGTAAGATTCCTGATGGAAAAGACGTCGCGGATGCTAAGAAAAAAGGACTCCAAAATTGCGCACAACAGGTCAGCGAAGAGAAGAAACATGAAAAGCAGAACGAGATCAGTATAAGACCAAAACGGGCTATACAGCCACCGGAATATTATGGACAGAGCTGATTGAACTTCATAATAATATTCATTTATATTAACAGATTTCTTTATATTTAATAGTCCAATAAGACTGGTTGTGTTTCGTAAATATTAGACAAGTGCATTGACACTAACTCCAGGTAAAAGAAGGAATATAGTGTCCTGTGACGTAAGTAGTAACGACAGGAACACTGAGGACATTAATGATGCTTGGGGTGTATTATGGGTTCTGGGTAGTTCTAGTCTGCACGTTGTTTAGAAAAGCAGAGCGAGAATATATTAACGATATTGCATGTGCGCGTTTTATACACTATAGAAAAGAAGCTCATAACAAAAACATTTCATTGTCCTTAGTGCCTAACAAATATTGCTGGTACCCATTATTAAATATTCAATCGTATCCGTGTGAAAGGAAAGCTTGGCAGTAGTAATGTCCGCAAACGGAAATTGCCAACACATGCAGTCAATCAAGATACATGTTATGATCTGGGAACTCGATGATTAATTTCAGTCAATGATTCTCAAGGCCAAGAGATCGATTTTTTGCGATTGAACTATTATTGGAACTATTCAAAATTTGATCATTACGCTATTTTATTTTAATTTTGGAGTTGGTAGAACTGCAGTCCTTTCTTTAACGGCTTACGATAAATATCCCTCTGCATGTGCATGTACACTTATATAGTTTAGTAGAGTTAATAATGCCTATCAAGTTACTCATTTCCTAAAAATGTATCTATGATACCGGGTGTCCCCAAAAAAATTTATCTGTTTGATTTGATATAACGTAAAAACTATAAGAGTTAGAAAATAAACTCAAATGCATGTAGAAAGGGCTAACTTAGACTTTGATACATAACATTTAAATTCCGTTCGATATTGTCGTAGTGGGAATGACTCAATGGGATATTTTATAGGGTGAAATGTATAATAATAAATTGCCTCGTGGGATTACTTTAAGTGGTGAGCATGCATGCATTTATCATATTATTTGTATATTTACAAGTAATACAGTTCATTAAATCAACCTCTTGGTATAGCAAAACTGTCGTATACGCAATTCTTAGGCTGACAGTCCAGATTTATATGCATGTAGAACGATTTTCTTGACAGAAATAATAGGACAACATGTACTAAACGTTTGCTAATAAACTTCAACCGACGCGTAAATTTCTATACTTTTTGTCACCGATAAATTACATGCAAACCCAGAAAGTTATACAAGTATGCCCCGTAATTGGAATTGCAAAAACAAAAAGGGGCTATGCATGCCTGCACATGGTCTTAAGCTACCTAAACCGACGGCTAAAAATATTAAATAGATAGACCCAACTTGTTGTTCGCGCTTGGAATGTACAATTGACTATTATGACAACCTTAATTGAATAGCTGTATTCATTTTACTGTCTTGAGTGAATCCTAATTATACCTAGCTATGTAATACACAGTATAGCAATCATCAGCGCATGTCCAGGCATGGCACTTGTGTAGGCTTTTGAAGCTATTGTGTTGCAAATTGTATTACTCCTCCTGACCACAAATTTAGCATATTAGTACAAAATGAGATTCATAAATCGGAGTCATTAGCCAAGTCACCTTTCATGCTTAGCGCATTTGCAGCCAGTTCTGAATAGACTCGGTTGGGGAAACATGAGTAGCATTTGGTGTAAGCTTGCAATTCTTGCTTGGATTCAGGTCTGTTCTATTGCTTTGAAAGCCAGCAGCGAAGAGAACAACGATGTGTTGGAAACTGTGCACTTCATGTTGAAAGCCGACGATTTTAGCTCACGTAAGTATAATTTATATGCTGTACACAGTCATGCATGTTATGAGAACTGGGTGTAGCCAGGTTTAGTACACTGAGTAAAAATAATGAACGAACATTCTTTAAGTCAAATTTTCGCTTTTCTTCGACCTAAAATAATACATAGTCAATCAATACGTGATCTAAAAGCTCTGCAAAAGAGCTTTCTTCTATTTTGTCTATGCTTTTGCAAACTTATGCTGATCATCTCTTTGAATTACTGAACTGTACTGCTGAACTTAATAAGCAAAATTTCAAAAGATTTGTGATATAGGTGAAGCCGTCTCAACAAAAATCGTAGCTCATTATAGAGACTTCGAAGTTTGCCGAGTTTTCTTCAGACCATATCTCGACTTATTCGACATGTAATCGAATAAGAAGGCATAAAGGCCCATTTACGCGATACGACCAGTCGTGTCGTATAGACTGGGTGATAAAGTGACTGCAGAATGCGAATCGTACACAACAAATCGCAGCATGTAAACGTACTACGTGAATAGTCCAACTCTAACTAAAAGCCATCTCGTTTCGCCTATAAAACTCGACAACCTTTACCGAAGATAGGCATCGCCTAATTTTTAACATTACGAATATACCTTATTAATTATGGCTATAACCTATAAGAAGGCAATTAAAAAGTACATCCATGCATGCATTTAAAACAATCCAATTTTTTATCTTATTAATGACGCTAGAATTGTACTTTACTATAGTCGACGACAGTCTCTTTCGTTGATAAATTTAATTATTATATTGCATGGAGGTTTGTCGCTAACCGCAATTTTAGAGAGCTCAAGCAAGCAATGTTTTTTATTCACGAACGCCAACTATAGAAGTAAATCGAGGCGTTATAGGATAGATGGGGACAGTCGCCCTTGTTTAAAATGAGAGCAGAGTATAAAGCCTGGTTTCAATCCAGCCGCCGACTCGTTGTCGGTAGTCGTTCAAGGAGAAAATGATTTCAGATAGGCATGTTGTAAAATATGGACTGGACCTTGGACTGCACTGGACTTGTAAAACATGGACTGGACTTGTAAAACATGGACTTGTAAAACATGGACTTGTAAAACATGGACTTGTAAAACATGGACTTGTAAAACATGGACTTGTAAAACATGGACTTGTAAAACATGGACTTGTAAAATATGGACTTGTAAAACATGGACTTGTAAACCATGGACTTGTAAAACATGGACTTGTAAAATATGGACTTGTAAAACATGGACTTGTAAAACATGGACTTGTAAACCATGGACTCGTAAAACATGGACTTGTAAAACATGGACTTGTAAAATATGGACTTGTAAAACATGGACTTGTAAAACATGGACTTGTAAAACATGGACTTGTAAAATATAGACTTGTAAAACATGGACTTGTAAAATATGGACTTGTAAAATATGGACTTGTAAAACATGGACTTGTAAAACATGGACTTGTAAAACATGGACTTGTAAAACATGGACTTGATCTTCGAGGAATTTATTATCGATGTTATGTTTCTCTATATGTACACCTATATAGAGAAACAGGTAAAAATACACGAATTATTCTGCTGCGCTCGCTTGCCTCCATCTTATTTTGCCCCCGGAATTGGACAGACAATAGAGACCTTAAGCTTGACGTTTACGGCAAACGTCGAACCGCTGACGAAGAATTATTAAACTTGTGGTAATTAGCAACTTTGAATCAACTCCAAAAGTGTTATTTTGTCGAAAAAAACAGCAACAAAATAACACTTTTGGAGTTGATTCAACTCCTTGAAATTAACAGTGTAGTCATGTATTCACCAAAGCAGTAAATCAAGATTTGGCGTTTCAAGTTGACGTTTGGCGTATAAATGTCATGCTTCAACGACTACAAGCCCGCGTAGCAGTTCAAGTATGAAATTTATACGCCAAACGTCAACTTGAAACGCCAAATCTTAATTTACTGCTTTGGTGAATACATGACTGTGGTTAATTTGCTTTCTTAAATCATTGTCAAACAGGGCCTCTTTTACGGGATGTGTAATTTGGGGGGAGGGGGGGGACATATTTCGCGGGGGCCTGGAGAAACCTGCATATATATGCATGGCTTAACTAATAAGTGCACGTCATAGAGCAGCAGATCAGGCCCGTAACTAGGATTCTGAGACAACCGAATCGAGCACCGAAGGTACGAGCCGTCTTGAGGGGTCTGGTCTGGGGCCATCCCCAAGAAAATTTTAGATTTATTGAATCTCAGATAGGCCGATTCCAGCATTTTGAGGAGTGTTCCAACAAGAAATCAACCTTATAAATAGTGACACAATGTAATCCAGTCCCACTAATTAAGCCATCACATCATGCGGTAATGAAAATGTGCGTGGTATAGTATTATTACATTCACTACACTTCAAATTATACAGTACTGTATTGCATGTATTGGGGTTCTTGATTGCGACGCATTCGTCTTCTCAGTCTCACTGAAGAGAAGGATCTCTTTGGAGCATATTTTCTAATAACGAAATATAGATTGGTCCGAGTCAACATAATTTAACTTCGAAAATATTTAATCCTTTTTTGCATATCTAACATAGTTTTTTAACTAACATTTTGACAAAAAAACTTCCAATATTTGCATGGCATGCATTTTCTATCATAGCTAGAATGTTGTAATTAAGCTGAATTCAGTTGCAAAACATAAATTTCCATAGACATAGTTCACTAATTAAACAAAACAAAACGAAACTCATAACAAAACATTTCATTGTCCTTAGTGCCTAACAAATATTACTGGTATCCATTATTAAATTATTCAGTCGTATCCGTGTGAAAGGAAAGCTTGGCTGTAGTAATGTCCACAAACGGAAATTGCCAACTGACATTACACAGTCAATCAAGATACATGTTATGATCCGGGGAACTCGAGGATGAATTTCAGTCAATGATTTTCAAGGCCAAGAGATCGAACTTTTGCGATTGAACTATTATTGTAACTATATTCAAAATTTGATCATTACGTTATTTTTTTAAATATTGGAGTTGGCCGAGAAAAACGGCTTACGATTAATATCCCTCCGTGCATGTACACTACTCACTATAGGCTATATAGTATGGTAGATCGAGTTAATAATGCCTATCACTAAGACATGTTACTCATTTCCTAGAAATGTATCTATGGGACCGGTGCCATAGATACATTCATGTTTTGCAACTGAATTTAGAGCTTAATTACAACCGATTCTAGATATGATAGAAAATGCAAATTGAGTGGAAGTTGTTTTTTTGTCAAAATGTTAGTTAATAAAAACTATTTAACATAGATATGCAAAGAAGG